TCCATTAGATGACAGTGTTCTTGAATATTGACACCTCTGAGATTTAATCACATTGCACAATCTTGTCATAATAAAATACAATGTGGTTGATCCAAACTAAAAGCACTTCTTTACTTCTTGCTCATGTAGCCAATCTGGAGTATGTTGCAAGTAAAACATCTGAGAAGCTGAAGGCACTGTAGTAGAAATGGTTAAGGCGTAAGATAAATGTCAATTAGCAAACAACAACAACAACAACAAAGCCTGTCAGTCCCAAGCAAGTTGGGATAGACTAGAGTTAAAACCCACCAAGAGCCCCAAGTCATGGTTCAGGCACATCAATAGCTGCTTTCCAAGCACTTCTATTCAAACATAGATCTCTAGGTATATCCCAAGTTTTCAAATATCTTTTTATTGCCTCCCCCATATCAATTTGGGTCTGCCTCTACCTCTCCTCACATTATTAGCTTGGCTTAGGACTCCGTAATGCACTGGTGCCTCTGAAGGTCTCCTTTGGACATGGCTAAACCACCTCAACCGATGTTGGACAAGTTTTTCTTTAATTGGTACTACCCCTAGACGGTCACGTATATCATCGTTCCTAACTCGGTCCGTTCAATTAGCAAACAATAGGGTGACAAAACTATGCAACCTGCATCTCACTACTGAGGCATCGAGAAAATGATGAGGGAGTGGGTTCGGGCGAAGAGGACAGGGCCGGTTGAGGTAGCACGTAGCTGTAAACAATTTTGTTAAAAAAACATTTAGAGCAATAAGCAAAAATGCAAATACAGTCAAAGCATCTGAAGTATGCCAATTTTTGTGAAGGTCATCCTGGAGCAACAAACTTTTTTCGGAGCATGTAAGAAAAGAAGCAATGCATGTTGGAAGGCAATAGATCTTGCAGCTAAGATCTCAGAAGGACACTGAAATTAGCAAACCTCATTAGCCTCCGCTCTTGTATCTCAGGATAGTGACAACAGCATAGGCACATCAGGAAACTAATTTGAACTTTTGAAGCCCTTGACGGTGCTTTTAGAAAATTGTACCAACACCTGCACATACAAAACAGCTGTGAGGACAACATTTTGCCAGAGTGTTCAAAGTTCTTATTATCGAGAAACTGTTTGATGAATATGTACTTATATAATAAACTTCATTGAGGAGTATGTACCATAGTCTTGATCACTGTTGCTATACTGAAAATCAAGAAAAAATGCTAGCAACATCTAATGAAGATAGTTGTCCTCTATGAGTACACAAACAGGGAGGCGCGCTTCGCCGCACCCGCAGTGGCTGCATGCTTCTATATCTGTTTGTGCTTTTGAGATGCTACTATAAGTCTCTACGGCAAAGCACACAACGACAGGACATAATGAAGCACCGCATTATGGCAACTCAAATGTACATTAGTTACACGTCTAGCAGTATCGTTACACAAATTGCATGCCTTTAGGAGGGGAGAAAACATTTCACAAATATTACGGCTTGAGAGGTTATATGTCAATGGCAAGCATGATCTTTTCATTGTCACAGAGAGAAATTTCCAAATAGGTACAGGAAAGTACAAATGCCTGACATGTTATGAACTCCTAGACTTTAGGAAAACAATAGCAGCTGAACCCTCGGTGAAATTAGTGCAGCAAGAATAAAACCACTGCTACTGCATCACTTTTGTGCTCTCAGAATGTTCTCTCTGCAATTTCTGTCCAGCTGTGTACTTAGATACACTTGAGAATAGGCTTTTAAAACAATTAAGCATTCTTGGTCAATCAAAGTTTGGATGAGCAGCTCAGCTCATTAGAAATAATTTCAACATTAGTGGGGCTGACACTGACAGTAGAGATAATCTCAACATGAGTAGAATTGATCGAATGCTACACGAAACTTTGAAGAAAGAAGAATAGATCAATTTTATCAGCTAATGGAGGAGGTGAACTCTCTGCTTATTGTGTATATTTCTAATTGGAGTTCATATTGCCCAAACAAAAAAACCTTATTAGTAGTATATAGGACTGATCTTGGAAGCAATTTAGTTGTGTGACAATTTCATAAGTCAACTAAAATTGAGCACGTGCAGACCAAGGAATCAAAAAATGTGGCGTCAACTAAAATTGCAACAACAACCAATGATTCAGTAAAGCATCGGATCGAAAACTAACTTGGCACCCAGCAACGGCACTATGCTAATGTAAAGTTTCAGGCACAGGCACAGGAAGTAAAAAAAACAAAAAAGAAGAGAACACAGCAAGTAACACTAACACATTATTTCTTTCTTTTCCGTATCCTCTTATACAAATATCTATCATTTGTTTGAGGAAAAAAATGTTCAGGGGAAAATACCTGGAACTACTACTCAATGGCCTAAATCATCAGCAGATGCTCCGTTCTCTATGATGTCCCTGCAAGAGGAAAACCTGCAGTAGTATTACGCCACACTGAGGAGAAGAGGCGTGAGCAGGACTACGGCGCGGAAGAGGACACCGAGATGTCAGCGGGCGGCGAGTTCGAGACCACCGAGGGTAGCGCCGCCGGTCGACACTCGTGCATCGCCGCTGGGGGGGCCGCCGGCGCACAGGTTGCGCTGGTAGGGCTTGCCGCGGTGGGGCCCCTGCGCCGGGGGCGGGGGGGGGGGGGTTGGCGGACAGCGCTGGCTGGCGGCTGGCCGGGGACGGCGCCGGAGGCAGGGGCGGCCGCTCAACAGGGTGTGGGGAGCGGCGGGAGTGCAGGAGGAGAACGGCGCCCGGGAAGAGAGGACAGGACCTTTTTAAAAAAAAATGGTTTCGTAGCATTAAAAAATCTGAGTTCAGAAAATAGCCATAGAAAGAACACCGTTATCTAAAAGTAGCATTCCGTCCTATTTGAAGGTAACAGCGTCAAGTCCATCTAATAAAGACAAAAAAAAATCCAACTCCCAGCTACTCGAGCCGGACATGGAAGATGCAGGGTGGCACCGGCAGCAGCTGGCGCGCGCGGGACGGCAGTGTCCGCGATCGAGGAGGGCATCTCAGCAGCTCGAGCAGTGCATTTGTGGCGGTGCTTCATTCGCGTGACTAGCCGGCGGCGTCTCGCTTGTGGGCGCGTAGTGGCTCGAGTAGCGTGACCCGGCGGAGGTTCGCGCACAGGCGTGCGGCAACTCGAGCAGGGCGGTCTGGCGGCTGCTTGTGCTCAGCACGCGGCGGCTCGAGCAGGGTGGTCTGGCTGGCTGCTCGCGCATAGGCTCACGGCAGCTCGAGCAGGTTGGGCGCGAGCAGCGGCGGCCGAGCATGAGCAAAATTACCGGCGAAGATTAGGCCTCCTGAATCCGCAGTTGAATCCGCGCAGAATGGACTTGAAGAAGACACTATGGAAACGAGGCAAAGAAACAGCCTTGGGCAGATGTCCTGCTGGCCTGTTGACCCAGTAGGGTACCCACCATGGATTTTGGGGTGTGGATTGACTCGGCGGCCGCTCGTGCAAGTGTTTTTTCAGTGTGATCTATGCCGGAGCTGAGGAAGACGAAAGGGATGGGATTTTTACTGGTGCTCACGTGGGAAGAAGGGAGGAGCAACGGTGGATTCACGTCGTTAGCTCAAACCGTGACAGAATGGTAGTTTCAGGTAACAGATTGTTTTTTCGGTGGTATTTCACGTGGCCGTGATATTTGAGTGGTATTTTTCAAATCTCGTCATCTTTATATGCTATGAAACCAATTTTGTCTTTTTTTCTGGAAGGTTAAGGGAGGTCGTGGAAGGCTGGGTGGAGCCGTGGGCATGCTGATGCTGTGTCCGGTGGCCTTTGATGTCGAATCGGAAGGACACGAAAAGATGATGACGTGGCTGTGCGTGGGAGAAGAAAATGTAGTATAGGAATAAGGGTAATAATTAATTAATGGTAGATGAGGTGACAAGATGGACAGTCTCATCATCACGATGGACTGGGAGAAGGATCATACATGCACAGAATGTCAGAATCGAGAAAATGAAGTAAATCAAGAGTGAGTGAAAAGAAAGAGATGGAGACGAAGCCCAAACCCCTCGACAAAGGAAGAACACTCTACACCAAAGGTAAAGAAAATCATAAAAGGTGGCATAAGGAACAAGCTTTAGCATCCAAGTCCTCAACTACACGATCAAACAGTGCTAGTTCTATTAATTAAAACATTGGAGAAGTCCAGCTAAAGGACTTAAACCATGAGCTCTAACCGAGAGGTGAAACCATTTTGTATCTATCATATTTAAATTCCCTCTTATTTTTTATTTCATGTTTTTGCGTATTTAATTTATGTTCTCCGTGCATCCCTTATGCATAATAACTCAAAACACAACACTAGAACATTTTTGGAAAGAAAGATGAGCTAGGAGAGGGTCGGCCAGCCCAACTCATGATTGATTGACCTCTGCGTCCATCATTTTGTTATGCACTTTTTGTAGCATCTCACATAAATGAATAAAGCAAAGAAATAATTTGATCTACCCAAAAGCACAAGTGACAGAGCATTTAGAGGCGATCAACCTCTAAAAATGGCAGTTTTAGAGGCGATTTGGCTTGCTAGCCAGCTCTTAAAATAGAGGGTATTTTTAGAGAAGGATGGAAATCTCAACCGTGTCCAAACATCGATTTCTAGAGGCGAGAATGCTCGGAAACCATTTTTATGTTGCTAAAAAATATTTCTATACTAGTGATATTTGTCCATATATATCTAAAAATCTATTAACTTAAAGGTACTAAGTCGTTCTGGTTTTTGTAAGTAGATAGCTTACACACCTAGATATATATGTAATGTCTAGACATGATAACAAGTATGTATCTTGAAATCCGTACTTACAATTTGGAACGGAGAGAGTACATGATTAGATATAACAATATAATCTACTAATAAAGTAAAGGATAACAGGCTTTGCAAACACACAGAGAGATAGGAAGAGATATATAAAGGATAACAAGGGAAAAACAGTTTATTGGCTTGTTTTATTCCTAATAATGAGTCGCATGCGATGGCATGTCAACTTTATTATTCAGTACAACACAAATATTTCTATCTAGAATGCAGAGCCAACAAAGGGTTGCTGTAAGAACATGGGTGGGATTGCCATGGCTGTTGGGTTGAACATGAATGGTAACTGCTGTTGCTGCATAATCTGGGAGATGGCATCGCAGTGACATTGTGGCAACGGCATCATGCTCGACATCATCATTTGTGACATCATGCTCGGCATCATCGTCATTGGTGGCATCATGCTTGGCATCATCATTGGTGGCATCATGCTCGGCATAGTCATTGGCGTCTGATACGGCTGAAGCGGTAAGGCCAACAGTTGCTGTAGCATCAGGGCCGGCCACGCCAACAAGCTGGCAAACCTCTGTTGCATCATGCAGTACTGCGTGCATGGGTTCATGGTACCCAATGGCATGACTGGTGGCAAGTGCCCTGGAATATGGGTCGCACTTGTGGCGCTTGCACAAAGAGCTAGGAGTGCAAACAATGCAAACATCTTGGCTGCCATGGCGGTGGTTTCCTTGATTCCTAGAGAATAGAAGATATGCGATTGTGAGGGCGATGGACTGCGATTGATCTAGGTCCTATTTATAGATGGATGCAATTAACAAAGACCATGTAGATGAAAAAACAATTTCTGGGACTTCCAGAACTGAGGAGTTGGATGCTGGATAAGCCGGATGACTTGGCATTTGGTCAAATTTGGAGGCTTCCTTAACTATTTTTGGATTAGTACCAAAAGGTACTTTTAGTAAAGCATGATGAGTTTATTGAGAATGTGACAGCCACATCAGATTGGTTTAATTTGCTTTTGCTAAAGTAAGTTCGTGGCATTATTATGGCTAGCTGAGGTGGATTAAGAGACTACTGCAACTGAATTTGTATGCATCTATCGCATCCTTATGGACAGAGTGTATACAACATAAAGAACATTTAATATGAAAACAACATTAAGGAAAGAAAGTAGCTTAAACCTTCTTTAATAACTGATTATATTTCTGAATAAGTTCTTACTACTCCGTCTATCCTGAAATATAAGGATCTCAGTTTGTCTTAAGTCAAACTACGCAAAGTTTCACCAAACACTACTAGAAAATGGAATATCTTTTGAGGCCACTAATTTTCTTGAGGGGAAGAATTGAACCCTCAAGGAATATATCACTACCTTGGTGGTTGTATGAAATCTCTAAGGAAATGCATATTTCTTGAGTGGTAACCCAAACCATTAAGCTAATTCCACATTTCCTTGAGTGCTAGTCTAAACCGCCAAGGTATTTCCACATTTCCTTGAGTGTTATCAGAAACCGCCAATGTAATTCCACATCTCCTTGGGTACTTTTTGGTATTTCTTACGTTCATGGATAAATCTGCAAGTGCACGAATACTATTATAGCATTTCACTAGGAGTATTCCAGATATCGTTATCTATATTTCCGCAGGGAAGGCTATGGCAAAGAGAATTGATAATTGACATACTCAATATCATATCATAACTAAAAACTAGAGTCTACATAGGGATAAATATATAATGATGGTAGTGTGACACACACAGAGCTTCTACCTCAAGACTAAGCTAGGTGGAGATCGTCAAATAAAGCTACGACTCCTATGATACATCTATGCTAAGTTATATATATAGTCTAAACACATGCACATACATATGATACATGGTTAGGACTTAGTTCCACGTCCCCGTGCACTATCAGGTAGCACCAAGCCCACTAGTGGCAATTAGAGGGGGGTGACATCTTACCATTTGTGTACATCGTACTTGAACATGGAGGATTACAAAGGATGCACAAGGTTGTCACCACCTACTGCTTACCTCGACAACCTATGGGGTTTATTCACAATTAATGGTGTCGACTAGCCTAAGCACCATGCGCACAGTAGTAAACACTACTCTTACTCTCCCGGAAAGAATAAGAGCAATCCAGAGATACGCTAAACCGATGCTGTAGCATGGATTGGCTAGCCTAAACATACTTTGTATATAACGCAAGAGTAAACTATGTAACCAACTTACTAATAGGATCATACTAGCATATGAACAAACAACTAGCATAGACCTACTGACATAATGTTTATGCACGATACAAAGCAAAGATGAATATTCCATTGAACTAGAGCAAAGTGTTACAAGGGAAATGAGATACAAACTATATCCCAACTCACCAAGACTACTTCAGAGCCGAGGATTAGCTTGATAAGCCTATCTCCAAGAGAGGGGAGCTCAAAATAGCAAACATGGTTATCAAGTGCCACCTAGAGATGTGGTGAGTAGCAAGCGAAAATGTTTCGAAAAATGCTAACTTAAGTGCTTAGATGTTTGGCAAAACATTTGGGAGTTAGCACGCTTGCATAGAGAGTGAGGAGAACTGTTGTTGATGACTTTGACCTCACCAGAGCTGTTCGGTGCACGACCGGACATGTGCGCTGGAGCTCACTAATAAGCGCCAAGACTTAGTCGTTTTTTAGCCGGGCATAGTGTTGAAAGGTCCTAAAGGCTAGAGGGGGGTGAATAGCCAATAAAAATTTCTACAACAACACTTAGCAAACCGGTTAGACAAATATGAGGCGAAGCGAGTGTTGCGCTATCCTACTAAAAATGCAAGCCACCTACCACAATTCTAGTTTATATAGTCTCTATCCACACAATGGCTATGTCACTACACTAAGTTAGTGTGCTCTCAAAGGCTAACTAAAGAGCCACACTAACCAAGCTAACAAACTCTCACGACTAGCTACACTAAAGAGCTTGACAACTAGTTTACGGTAATATAAAGAGAGAGCAAGATGGTTATACCACCGAGTCAAGGAATGAACCAATCAATCACAAGAATGAATACCAATCACCTCAGAATCAAATGATGACACAATGATTTTTTATCGAGGTTCACTTGCTTGTCGGCAAGCTAGTCCTCATTGTGGCGATTCACTCACTTAGAGGTTCACACGCTAATTGGCATCACACGCCAAACCCTCAATAGGGTGCCGCACAACCAACACAAGATGAGGATCACACAAGCCACGAGCAATTTACTAGAGTACATTTTGGCTCTCCGCCGGGGAAAGATCAAGAACCCCTCACAATCACCACGATCGGAGCCAGAGACAATCACCAACCTCCGCTCGACGATCCTCGCTACTCCAAGCCGTCTAGGTGGCGGCAACCACCAAGAGTAATAAGAGAATCCTGCAGCGAAACGCGAACATCAAGTGCCTCTAGATGCAAACACTCAAGCAATGCACTTGGATTCACTCCCAATCTCACAAAGATGATGAATCAATGATGGAGATGAGCGGGAGGGCTTTGGCTAAACTCACAAGGTTGCTATGTCAATGCAAATGGCCAAGAGGGTGAGCTAGAGCCGGGAATGGTGCTTAAATAGAGAGCCCCCATAAATAGAGTCGTTGGCTCTCTGTTCCCTAAAAAATCGGGGCGACCAGACGCGCCGGTCAGATCGACTAGATGCAGGACCCCAGCGTCCGGTCGCGCAATGCACGCCATGTGGCCCCTGCTTCAAATGCTGATCGCTTGATCTCAACGGTCATCCGTACATTTAAGTTATGACCGGACGCGCTGTTTGAAGTGATCGGATGCACCATCACTGACGTCCGGTCATTTCGAGTAAGGTTCCATTCATGATCGGACACATCCAATTATAAGCGACCGGACGCAGACTAGCCAGAGTTCGGTCGTTTCCACAGAGCTCCCCAAACCTCGGTTTTGCGACCGGACGCGTCCGCTCCTATACGACCGGATGCAGCACCTGAGTCCGGTCATTCTCCAACTGCCACGCGTCATAGCTATTCCTCACGCTACCACGTCAGCGTACGTCAGCACTGACCGGACGCAGGCCTTGAGCATCCGATCACTCTTCGCGCCAACGTCCGGTCATTTGACCAAAATCGCACGCTTCACAGCTGCTACTGACCGGACGTAGGGTCAGAGTCTGGTCACTATGTGACCAGCGTCTGGTGCACTCTGTGAAACGCTGTCTTTTCTGTACAGGGCACTAGTGGCACCGTCGGACTGTCCGCCGGTAAAGTTTTGAACCCTTGCTCCCAAGTGCTAAACACAATGTGTATCACCTTTGTGCATGTGTGTTAGCATATTTTCACAAACATTTCAAGGGTGTTAGCACTCCACTAGATCCTAAATGCATATGCAATGAGTTAGAGCATCTAGTGGCACTTTGATAACCGTATTTTGATACAATTTTGACCCCTCTTAATAGTATAGCTATCGAACCTAAATGTGATCACACTCGCTAAGTGTCTTGATCACCAAAACAAAATGGCTCCTACCACTTATACCTTTGCCTTGAGCCTTTTGTTTTTCTCTTTCTTCTTTTCAAGTCCAAGCACTTGATCATCACCATGGCATCACTATCATCATGTCATGATCTTCATTTGCTTCACCACTTGGAATGTGCTACCTATCTCATGATCACTTTGATAAACTAGGTTAGCACTTAGGGTTTCATCAATTCACCAAAACCAAACTAGAGCTTTCAAATGTGTTCCTGAAAGTGCATCTAGCCCTTCTGTTTGTTTTGGTGGATTGAATTACAACACAATTAAAGGTCTAATAAATTTGCTAAGTGTTGAACAGAAAATTGAGTATATTGATTACACATGAAGATTGCGTAACAAGAAGTGTATCAAAGGGTCAATAAGAAGGCAAACTCAATGATATTCCACATAGTGTTCAAATGAAGGCTAAAACTATGTATTGCTATATTGGAAGATTATGGAATTAATCTAGTTCAAACAAAAGACAACAATTCATATAGAATTGATGAAATGGCTTATATGTTGTGGGATATCATGGAATCATGTGAAATCAAGTATATTTGGCAAATGGCAAATGAGACATGATTTGATGAATATGGATTGGTTTCAGTAGTGGCTTGCTTTGCATGAACAAGAAGAGATAGATAGTGGGTTGGGTTTGATCAAGTATTGATTTGAGCAAGATGAAAATATGAAGATAGATATTGAAGTGAGTGTTAGGAGAGTCAATCCAAAATGAGAGGATATTAGGAATAGTGAATTGGCTTGACTATATTGGTGTTGATCAAGATATGTGATCAAAACAAAAATGAGCCAAGTCATGGAAGGTTGATGGACAATATTTGGGGAATGACTTGGATATGGAAAAGGATTTCTATTAGGCTTCAAATGAATGCTTAATGTTGGTTCAAGATCTGATGTGACTTGAGGATGGCTTGATAGGGTGAGATAGCAAGAAAAGGGATTCGAAGGACTGAGCAAAGGTGAAGGGCAAACGAGGGCTTGTGTGCCAATGGACCACAACTGCGGTGAAGAAGAAAGTACTTGCATTGAGTCGAGGTACTAATCAAGCTATGAGGATTTATATAGTGTGGAGGATCAAATCATTGTTGAATCATAAGTGGAAGTGACTTGAATCCATGATTGGAACTCTCATGTGTTGAAATGGTTCAAGTCACAAGCTCAAGGTGGTTTGCTCAAAGAATGAGA